GGTCGGGGCACCCCATGCCCACCCGGACCCCTGGCAATGCCCACCCCGCAGCCTGGCACCTGAGAGGCGGCAGGAGCGCCCCCGACCAAGGCACGGCAGGGAAGGGCTGCACCTCACATTTGGCTTCTAGAACCTGACTTCCAGCCCCGATCCAACAGCTGCAGAGCCTCTGGAAGAAAGGGTCCCTCGAGTCCCCAAAGGGTGCCCCTGACAGGGAGCAGAGGCCTGGGTGTCTGGCTCTCGGCTCCTGCCCAGGCTCCTCCAGGGGGGCCGGGGGCCCAGAGAGTCGGTGTGGGGCGAGCACCTTACACGCTGTTGTGTCTCACGCACACTCAGGTAGATGCACCAAGACAAATGCAGGCGTCTTTCCCTCGGGGAAACCGGCCTCCTTCCTGGGGCGGAGAGGGCAGAAGGCAACGGAGGGCCAGTGCTGGCCTCTCCCTCCTGGGTGTGCTCAGGCCCAGCTCAAGTCGGAGGGAACTTGGCCGTAAGGGAGACGTGAATACTGCTTCACTGGCTCTCAGCTTTGCTGTTGAGTAAAGCTTTTCCTGGGGCCCTTTGCGTTCTAATAGCCGAGCAAGAGGCCATGGTTATTACTCGTGAGAAAACTGTTTCTGAAAGATGACTTCGTTCTTTCTGGGTCGCTCTTCACTTGAGAGGTCCTGCAAAAATCGAAAACAGATGAAATCTTGTTTTCTTGCTCTGGGAGAGTAACAGCTAAGCAACAGACAGACAGACAGACAGACAGACAGACAGATACTAGGTCTCACATTGCAGCTCATACTCCTAGTGGTCCTCCTGTCCCAGCCTCCCAAGTGCTGGGATTACAGGTGTACACTACTATGCCTAGCATGCTAAAGTTTTTTTTTTTTTTTTGTACTGGGACTCGAACTTAGGACCTTGCACTTGCCAGGCAGGCACTTTTGCTGCTGAACTACATCCCCAGCCTGGCATGCTAAACTAGTAAATCATGTAGAAAGCAAGAACCCTGCCCTGTTACTCATCTGGTATTACGATTTTTAGTTGTTTCTACTTATTTATATGCAGTGACTGAGTTTGTCATAAAGCATGATGAGTAACATAAAATATTGATGCCATGTAAAAATGTCCAATTAAAAAATGTCCA